GAGTATTTAAATGACAGCATAAGATTGAAATGTTGAAATAGGAATGATGAATGATTGATGATTAGCGTTAGTTGCTTTTGAAGTGCAAATTTGCTTTAGGTAACGATAATACAATGATCGTAAACATCAACATATAATAAATATTACTTAAATTCCTTCTATCTATACCGCTAGTTTAGAAAAAAGAAAAAAAAAAAGAAAAACACATGCTCGTCAATTTCAGGAGAGTTAATGCTTTTTTTTCAATATTTACAGCACTATGGATTAGGAAATTTATTCCCAAAGTTAAATGTCTTTTGTCGATGACTAAAATTATTTGCCAGAATGAGAATTTCACTTTGTTTGTTTTCCTTTCTTTTTTCTTCTTTTTTTAAACAGATTAATTCTAAGTAGAAATTCATTCAATATTAGCGTGGAATGGGGAGAAATCAACCAAATAGAAATGCTTTAACAAATATTCAACCAAAATATTTGTAATTTTTAAGCCATGTAAAATGTCATGTGATTTATTTATTTTCCAATATTAATTTGAAAAATTATTTTGAAAATTTTTGAAATTTACAATTTTTTTCTTTAATTTGAAATTATTTTTTCAAGAATTAATAATATTTCAAGTGTCAATGCTTTTCATAAAGAAAAAAAATCATGTGAATGTTATTATTTGATTATGGAAAACCATGGCGATCATTATCTTGATACATAATTAATTTGGCGAAAAGAAATATAACATACTTATTCAAAGAAAAAAAAAAAAAAAATTCATACATTAATATATTAGAGTGCTGTAAAGTAATAATATTGAAAAACAAAAAGAAAATTTGATAGATGAAATCATCGAAATATGCTAGTATTATGCGCTAAAAATGTACATCAGGCGTAAATTGCAAAAAATATTAATTACTGAGCATGAATTTATTCATCCGAACGTGATTAAGTATTCTGACGATTAATTATATATAAACATAGAAATGTGTTATACTCAATTACATAATATCATCTAATTGATGCAGAATATGATAGAATTGATAAGTACCACGGATACGTGAATGAATAATTTTTTCGGTAATATATTTAATTACAGATAACATTTTTAGAAAAAAAAAAAAAAAAGGTACGAAATATTGTAATATTGTTGTGAATGTTGAATGTGTTGATTTGTTTAATTTATCTGTTAGCTACCTTTGGCAATATTTGATAATGAAGAAAGAACTACTTAAAAGAAGAAAAAAAAAAAAGTAATAATAAAGCAATAGACATTTGTCATCCTTAGTACTATAAATATTTTTGTAGTAACATTATATCTGTAAATTTTCTAAAATTTCAATTTCATTTGTCAAGCTAAATCATATCCAAAATTTATATTATTATCAAAATTCAATGATAATTGCAAATTTTTTGTTCCTATATTCTTTATCATTTTTAATAAAATTCTATTTTGAAATTTTAAAAATGGTAATTTTTTCTCTATCTCTCTCTTTCCCTTAATCATTCTTAGCCCTAA